ATTTTTTATTAATCTAATTAATTATATGTTTTCCCTTTGCAGATAAGTATTATATCAATTTACACTTGAAAGAAATAACGATGATTGAGATTAATATCAATCGAACACTTCTTTCCATTAGCGTTTGAATAAAAAAGGCTTGCTCCGTCGTCTGTCCTCCTAAACTGATTTCGCTCAAAGGTTCAACTGGTGAGAGAGGCAGCAAGCTCGGATTGGTCGCGTAATTAAAATGGCAGGTAGCTCGATGCTTGGCACGGAAAAGCTGGCAAGAGAAGGCCGGCCGCGGCGGCTCGGCGGAGCTTCGATAACGATATTCGCATCCGGTTTCGTTCCCGTCAAAGGAAGTAGATTGCACCTGCGGGTAAGCATCGACGAGAGCATGTCGGTCGCGTTTGCCTCTCGCAGCACCCTATTGCGATCATAAACTACGGTCGCTTGTCGCAAGCTGCTTGCGTTGCGACAGCGCGTGCCCATAATAAGTTAGGACGTAAATTATCCCAAGGAGCCGGGGATCTCGGCAATCAACCACAAAACGGATTTCATCGGCGTTAATCTTCCAAGCAAACTTGCGGCAGCGACGATCGCGTCGGGATGCGCGGCCACGGAACCGGAAAATGTTGTTTGGCCGCACGTTTTGCCTCTACCCCAACCTCTGAGAGCGAAGATAATGCGCGGTCTTTTTGTACCGTCGACGTTTTATCGCGCGAGCTTTTTTCCCCCCTCGATCGATGCGCGCCGATAAGAAGATTTACGGCTTTTAATTTGTAACGTGATTAAAACACTTCCGACGGATATTAGATTAAGAGATGTTGTTGGTTTCCTTCACTGTTTACACTCTCTATGTCTGAATTTTGTTCAATCGTTAACAGGTCAGAACATAATCAAAAGGGCTATGAGATTAGTACCGCTAGTTCCTCCTTTCATCGCGTACCTACTACGTGATGTACATAGCAACGAGAATGAAAATTCTTGGAAAAGTTGAGACTCCGGAAGAGATAGCGCATAAAACGGGAAAGATGCATTCGTGGCAATTTGTACCTTCCGACAAATGTGAAAAGTTCGAGGATGTTGGATCACAAGATTAAGAAATTTTTATACGCGCACACTTTCAACGAAACGTTCGGCGTACATTATTTTTTAAACATTTTCACGTATCTTTAATTCGGCATTAGTGATCGAATTGCAAATTTTTAGAAGGTACAAATTCTTTGACGAGGCTCAGTTGATAATCGTTAAAATATGCGGTGCCAGTGCAAAGAGAATATAATTAACGTTTGATGAACGTCCCCGGCTGGCGATGTTTTCAAAAATTCATCGTTTCCCTCGGCAGGGCCAGTTATCGCGCGCTTTATCTTTATATTAGCCCTTCACTTGAGAGGAGAGCGTTAACCCTGGAGATCATTCTATTAAAACCATTTATCTCCTCTGTTAGAAGTTCTCTTGGGACAACTATTGTACTTTCCCAAAGTTACCCGGGTATCCCCGGCGGAGTCTTTCGACGATACCGTTTCTTTCGTCTTTCTCTCATTTTTCAACAACTCTTATCAGCATTAAGTCGCGTTACTAATATTCCAAGGCTTCCGCTATTATACTCATCCTGTTACCGTATTTCCTTCATGAGTGAAATACTCCCTTTACGCGAGCACCTAAGTCTCTGGCACTTTTATTGCATAGCCTTCTGCCAAGAAACTTCACCGAGCAGTAATTTTTGCGCGCACAGTTCGACTTCATTAACTCTTTCCAATTTATTATTCTTCTTCAGATCAGTTTTCACTTCGTCAGTGGAATTAAATTTCTAATTATGGAACGTCTCGTAAATCAAATTAAATTCTTGATTCATGATACCTGCATTTGATTCTATTGTTCTCTATGACTTTTATTTGGAAGGATATCGGTGAGTACTGAAAAATATTGAATGATGTACTGTCGTTGCGTCGAGCACAACGCGCGTCCGACCGTAGGCGGACCTATATCACTTAAACTATCTGTTTTCTCTTTTCTCACGCGTCTTCAGTCTTCCTTTCAACGATAAATCAAGTCTCAACGGATCTCCATGTGATTTTTCTTCCACACTCGCTACTTTACAATTTCCATTTATAAACATTTTCCAAAATTAAAATAAATTTCGATCCCGTTTATAAACAATGATAAATGGAAAAACGCTGAACGGTCATAGAAACTTTTATTGTACGATGTGACAATTAATAGAAATACAGATGAAACTTCACTCTCTTTCGTGAGTCAAAGAATTTCCCACATTACCATTAAAACGGTGTAGCGTACGCGATGTCAACATTATAACACCCGCATGTCCCGTGTCATCCGACATACTGCGCGTGCAAATCACTAATCTGTCACGTGCGCGAGCCTTTGGTAATTAAATTTCAATTAAATGGGTGTATAACAGTACGTGGGACAGTCAGGTGCACGTGCAGTTCACGTCCATGTAATTGCGAATCATTGGCGGGTGCGTTATTTATTTATGAATATTCAGTCGGCCCGGGTGCATAATCGTGCGGGTTACAATATATGCGCGGACAAATGTTTATCAGAACGCCGCGTTAAAATAAATTTTGTCTCGGCCCGTTCATACCGTCGGCTCCCGCAGCCGTCATAAATCTTTGCCTTTTACCAGAAATCGTCAAACTTCCACGATACTCTGGTTTAACGACACACGAGAAGAATCGCTGGGAGCGCGAATCGACGCATTTAATATATTCGCTCGATCGTGAATCGCGCCTGGGTCTCCGGTTTCATTGAATCGATTCTCGCCCACCGAATTTGATATTTCACTGGCAGAGCTACCAATTTTTTTCCTACCGAATGGTTTCGCGTTGAAGTAATTCGCGGATGTTCAATCAAGTTGAGCGACTGCGTGGACACTGTGTTTCTACTCGATTACAAATTTAACGATGTATGCACCGTATTCGGTCGCGAATCGGTGATGATCGAATGTGTTTTTGTAATGCAACCTCGTCGTAAAATTATGTCCACAAAATGAAAAAGTGTACGCGAACGTCACGTAAAAAATGCGAGGGTAACAATAGGCATCGGGATGTTACGCGTTAATGCGAGATTCTCAGAATTCATGAAACATAAATTTCGTCACCTTGTTTTTCGCCAAATTAATCGCGACGAGGTGACATGGTACATGAGTAAAACCGCTACCGTCGCGCGTGTTTCAACCCCCACGCAGATCCGTAGATTTACAAAATGCATATCTCCAGCGATGGTTGAGATTATGGCGTCCCAAGCTAAGAATTAAACTTCGTTACGAGAAATTCCATTCGTTTTAATCCGTCGCGTTATATCAAGTTTAAATCAGTCATTCTTGTTGATAAAGATGTCGACGTTTGATAGATATGACGCTGACCATTTGTTCATTTTATATATAAAATGACTTGAAAAGGAATTCTTCTCACTTGTGAGAAAAACATCAAAAAACAATTGTTAAGTGTTTTATGGAATTGCTTGTTTCTCTAACATAGTTCGCAACAGATAAGTGTGCCACTATTGTACTGATACAACTTCATCGGTACGTCGATGTATCAGATCCAGCTAGCTACCATGGAAATGCGGGTTTGGCCAGTATTGCGACACGATATGGCAGTTTGGTACTGGTTAAACTTACCCATTAACGGCTACTAGTCGGCAATGTGTTCCTAGTCGAACTGTAACGCGGGATCTTCGACTAGTACAGTTTGTAGGAAACAGTCGTATACTTTAATGTGCTTCCGGCGACGTATCCGAATGAAATCGTCGTAGATATAAACAGAATCGAACTTGTCAAACGAATACTGCGTTTGTTGTTCGCACATTCGGTTCTTATACCAGAACTATTCAATTACGATTTTACGTAGAACCTCGAAAAAGTTGAACGTAGTGCAATTTTAATTCTTCTCATAAATATTTACACGCTTGAGTGGTAAACAAGAGAAATTTATTTCCACAGAAGGAAAAAGGTGGCAGTAAAGAGCGGCGGGACAGTTTTAAAAGTGCACCGAGTTTTTCCACTCACTGTTTAAACGATAATAAGCATTCTCCTTTTTACTCGGCTAACTCGGTTAACGTAATTTCTTTACATTAAAATCTGCTACTCGCACGATCGTTATGCGGCGCGTAACGGCTTTCGTTCTGCCCCTCGGCGGTCTACCTTTTTTTCGAAAGTGACTGCAGCGAACGACTTCCCCGGAAACAGTCGGACTTGGCTCGTTTTACTAACAGATTCAATTAAGATATCCGGTCCCTTCGGCAGCGTTCAAACGGGAAAACGTCGCGTTTCCACCCTTGCAGACAGGCGAACGCGCCCTTGAATCTGCAACATGACAATCCCCACGAAACCGACCTACCTACTTCGGAGAAGCGAGGTAGATGCTTAGAGATTGGTATCATCGCCGGTGTGCCACTCGACCGTTTGCAAATTCCCTTTGGAACTTAATAGTTGTCGAGCTACATCGGTTTGTATTATCGAACAGTTTCATTAAGCAGAGTACGAGTACAGTTAATAGAGAATAATGAATAATACATATTCCGAAAGCAAAAATAAACGAAGTACCCGAAGAGAACGAGGTATATTCGAAAACTCCTTGATATTAATTCAATTTATCTAATGACATCGTATAAGTTCTTTAGCATTTTTGTTAAACTTAACGATATTAAACTGCAGTGAGCGACACTGAACTTACACAGATTTGTCCACTGCAGTGGTTGGAAAAAAGGAACAATGAAGCCAAGCGACTGAGCGCAATTCAACCGAAGCCTTTCGCGCCACGTTATAGCTAGCCACGGTCACAAAAGAGCCTCCCTCTAGTTTTCCGCTCAAACATCTCTCTGTACACGCGACAACAAAGAACGATAACTGAACAATACTTACGGGAAACGGCGAGCCATAATAGCTGATTTTCCGTCGACGCGTCAAGACTATAGATTCAATTAAGATAGGTGTCACAATGTCCCCTTCTGGTTGAGGTTACTCAGCCGGGAAAAATTTCTGTTCGCAGAGAGGAAGGTATGGTACGAAGCGGCGACGCGCGCGATCGAAGCCCGTATCCGCGCGTCGGCGGCAAGTTCGAGCGTCAGCGGGACGACGCCACCGGGCGGCGTGGCGCGGGGCGTCGTTCTCTTCGTCGGCGACGGGATGGGGATGAGCACACTCACGGCTGCGAGGATTCTCTCGGGTCAACGTCATGGAAACACGGGCGAAGAAGCGCAACTCGCCTGGGACAGCTTTCCAGCCGTCGCTCTCGCAAGGGTGAGTTTTCTATCTCCAACTTTCGCTCTTTACATAGGGTGTCCTATGATACGCGATATTCTGCTGATTGGTTCTCAGAAAGGCAGCTTTATTTCATGTTACATCAAGCTGTAGTTAGTTTATCCATTAGCGCCTGATATCTGAATTTGTCGAAGCTTTAAGATGAAATAGGATGATATCTGATTGTATTTTTAAGTAGAAAGAGGAAAACAACATTCAGTGGGCATCGTACAAAATTTAAGTAGCGCATATGCTACGAGTTTTCATCCATCCTTTTTATATTCTGAATCAGTCTATGAAATATCACCTGGGACATACCGTATATCTTGTATTCTTTGCGCTCTTCCTCGTATTCCTATTCTTCTTTTGCATTCCGCTTTTCCTTTCTCCGTTCGAGCACCTTTGCTCGCGTTTTTTTTCCCTCCGAGGGTCGGTTTCCCTCTCGCTTCTATGCGGAGAATGCAGAACGTCGGAGAAAAACTTTTCCTCCCGAGGGGTCCTAGCTAAAGGATTCGAGGGAACATCGACGCTCTTGATTCGAGATTTGATTATTATGTAGCTGACTGACTCGATTCCTCGGCGTTCTGTATCGGTTTTGTCGAGTCCTTGTGATCAGAGGAGAATGAATCCGTCCCACTGATACGTATGTACGCTTCTCGTGCATTATTGCTGGTGAAAAGCAATTGCCAATTCCTGCCAAATCCTACCAGTTTTTATGTAAAGTATATTATTTTGTTAAAATGAAATATTTTTATGTGTGGAAGTTTCGTACAAACAGTTCTAAAAAACTGTCCAAGGAAGTTGATAATAGGAAATATATTTTATAAATAAATAAATATAATAGGAAAAATATTTTATACAAAATATCAAAATATATATTATCGTTAAGAAGTATGTGGAATATAAGGAATGATTATATATTAATATTAATATTAATATTACTCAATCTTCTATATTTTACATTTTGAATATGTCCCAAAATTAGATATCGATTTACTTTAAATCATGTTTAAACGCGCAAGTAACTCGGTTTCCAGCGAGCAAAGCAGCATGGAATTTGTCAAAGATACGAGCTTCTTCAATCTTCCTCCGTTCGTTTTGCCTACAGGGAAGCCATGAAAAAACGTCGCATCGGAAGTGTAATTTTTCGCACTAGTGTCCCGAAAAGATTCGCGGTTTGCTCGTTATCTCCGTTAATTATGAAACTTCGTTTCTCCTCGTCCTTTGCCAAACGTTCTTTCGGACGCGAATTGCGAGTATCCCGTTTGGTGCATGAAATCAAACACTAATTAAACCGCGAGGGATCCCGTGAAATTTGCAGAAAGTTAATGCGAGCACCAGTCGAGTTTAAATCCCTCGTTGCATCGCGTTAATAGTTACGGAGAAGTGAATTTTTACTTAATCGGCTTTCAGACGTCTTTCTACTTCTTTCTCCTTTTGCTTTTTACGCACTGGTGAACTAAGTAACCGAGACGACGATTCCCGTGGTACATAGTGTACTTTTCTTGAACCTTATTATGCGTTTAAGTCATATTGACGAGAATTATGTAAAATGGTTACGTTGCACGGTTAACCAGAACCACTCAGTCGGTCAATACCGAAATTCAATCGGCGCATTGATTAATTCCGAAAGTTTCTAGATGTTGAAATTCCGCGGCTCGCATGTCACGACCATTTATGTATTACGAATTTGGACGTGGGACGTCGAAAGATAGTTGGGTCAGAACCAATTACAAGGAATATGGGCGGGAGAAACTATTTGAATATTTGACCGGAAGGGAGAACGCTTGTGAACAGAGCCACGCCGAGAGAGCTGGTCTATTTAGAATTGTTCCCAGAAATTACACGGACAGGTAACAAATTGTACGAGGTACAGGTAATCTCGGCACGTTTCACTTCATAATTACTTGAACACAGTTTCAAACGAGCAATCCAGAAATGAGAAACGCGGGAACATAATGTCTGAAGGAAAATGGCAGGCGAATAAATCGATTCGTGGCCGATAATTAAGAAGCGCGGCTCGAAACTCCTTTGTGCGTGTCGCGTTCGGAAATTATTGAACCACCGCGAAGGTTCTCGTTAACCGCGTGCATCTCACGTCGCGTGTTCTCTAGTGAAATACAACGTTCGTGTCGAGAGCAATAAAACTGCAATATTCGAAGCTTCGTTTTCCGATCTGATGCAATCGTACGATTGTAGAAAACTGAATGTTCCGCTTCAGCGTAATATAATCGTAATTATCTAGTCGTAATTTTAATTTCTACCGTTTTCTAGATTCACATTTATTAAATGTTTGCATTTAATATTCGTTGATCTGTCGTGTCCGTCGCTTACGTCGCTACATAACGTAGTTCGTTCCTTGTGTAATGCCCTTTGCTCGTCAAAGAGGAACTGGGTCATCATTTTCAAATCGGATTTGAACCGTGTTTTAATGAACCCCTCTTATTCAATTACAACCCGAAGCTTTTTGACAATGAATACTTACAAATTGCCTTAATTAATCCTTTTACAAGACATGTGAATATTCACGACGTATACCTCACTAATTTTTTTATTCATTCCATGTGAAGTGCTGATTACAAATTCTTTTGCGAGCGCATGCATAGCGGGACAAGTAATTTCTAGCAAAAATCCAGGACTCGACGCGACGAGGCCGCATAATATATGTTTCACCGTACTAAATTCTACCGTTCGACACGTATTCGCACGTCGCTGCATTTATTTTCCCTCGCATAATCCAATTTGCATCCGGTTCCTCCTTTAGCCGCGTATCTACTTTTCACGTCCCATCCGAAACGCCGTGCGTGTCGGATCCTCTCGGCGGGGACCGAGTCGACTCGCGGAAACTTCCCAACAAACTCTATCGGGATTTCCAGGATCGTCGCTACATCGGTTACGGAGTTGCTTATTATCCGAGCGACGTAATCGAGCTTTCTACGCATGGACAAACTCCGCGTTGGATAAGAGGAGGGGGGGGGGTGGGGTATTCGCGTTGCCGCAGCAGACTGGCTTAGAAAATTTGCATAACAATACACCCCGGTGTAATTCGAATCTTCCTAATACCCATGTCCTGGTTTAATTAGCGAAACTGGTTAGCCACGTTTAGCGTCGCTAGTGCAATGAAACAAGAACGTCAAAAGTTGAAATGTCGAAATTCCTAATGAAAAGAGGTCCACGAGTATCATACGTGTGACGATATTTCCTTTTGGTTCTCAATATTATTACTTACGCCTGGACTGCAAACTTTATGCATTTATAGAAAATTTCGAGCCTGTAGATAATGCATGGAATGTATAAATATGTATGAAATATCAAGAACTGCATATCGCAGTGCCTAAATTTTTAAACTAAGTCACATTTATTTTTAATTTGATAAAACGAATGTTTTATTTTTCATAACAATCCGTGGTCGTTCGTTCTTCTTCATTAGTACGAAATCAGAAAGAGAAGAGACAAGTGTTACTTTTATGATACCTACATACCTTTTGTCCGTCACTGTACATAACTTCCGTAGCAAATCGTGCAAATCGTCTTGCACATAAAAGCGGAAATATGTACGTGTCCAGATATAATATACGATCGTTCCTTTTGTCCCCCTTATTCTCTTGTGTTTTATGAGTGGAATTCTTTTTTTACTCATCCTCTTCCCTGGTCCTTGGGGCCCTCTGCCATTCTTTCTGGATCAGCAGTTCTCAGGCTTTTTCCACTGAAAGAGTTCGCCACGGCCGGTATTCGACGGAGAATCGATCAATCCACTGATCAAATGTATCTTTTTTCTCACGTTTTTACAAAAATCCTCCTGTAAAATTCTCGCGCACGTCCATTTCGAGTTCCTTGCGAGTGACACGCCACCTTTTAAATTAAGAGTTGCTTTATACATTTATTCCTGTTAAAAGATATAAAACGAGTGAAATCCTAGACCCGTTGTTATTCACACAGCGAAGTGCGAAGGCGGTGTAAACCGTGTTACCTATTGTACGGTTTTTTTTTTTTACCAGAATAGGGGAGATAACAACTTTATATTACAATAGATTGTACTGTTTTGTTGACGATTGAAACGCACAGCGAGAATTCAGTGATTGAAAAGTTTGCCTTATTTCGAAAATTTCGAAACTTTTGTACGCACGAAACACAATCTCTTTTTACATTAATTTTATAACTAAAGTTGTTTTAATTATGTTTCGGAACAGATTGCACCTTGTAATTACCTCCCTCTAAGCTCTAGGAAAAGATGAACGACATTATCTAACTTGGAACATTCACTTTAAACTTCTTGATTGTACTAAAATATATTAAAAATTGTTATCAACGTCGAACATGCAGCAGTTTATCAAATTGATTTTCCGTGAGAATAACACGTTTACCAGTTGAGAAAATCCTTCCCTCGGCGATTCGTGTTGAAGTTAATACTTAAACTTCCGATACCAGTTCCGCGAATTCCCGAAAATCATCACAACTGAAGGCTTGTTTATTATCCTGTTGATGTAACCGAGTTCCAGATGGAAATGCAACTCAATCGATTTTCTGCTTTTCACACGCTGTTTTCGCAACAACTACATAAACTACGTCTTTGCATTTCGATGGATATACCGATATCACTTCTATTTACAATTCCTTTTATTACACGACGCGATGTAAAGCAATTTGTGGACGTTTAAATTCATTTCTCGAAATACAGGTAAATATTCGAAATTAAAAGAAGATTTTAGAGTATCGTTGTACAGACAGCTACGCAATAAAGTATCTAATATTACGGTACTTGATATTGAATATCATAGCATTCATTACTATAACACTTTTTCCCGTTTTAAAATTACTCTCTTTCGAGTTGTTCCTTCCTTCCGAGTCTTTTTAAAGTGCTTTTCTGTTCTAAAGCTTCGTCTCCGGGTTCTTTGGTCGCTTCAGTTCGAAAATGGACAGAATCGAGAAAAGTTCACGTGCAATCCTTCGGAACTTCGAGGACTTCAATATTGCCTACTGTCTTGCTTATTATTCCTAAA